TATAAAAATACAACTGCGTGAAACACAGTAGTATAAAACTTCAACTGCGTGAAACACACAGTAGTATGAAATTTCAACTGCGTGAAATACACAGCAGTATGAAAATTCGGCTGCGTGAAACACACAAACTTCACGCATGCGTGGAGTGTATGGAATGTACGGGAGTGATTCACGCAATGGTGCGAATAGTCACGGCCAAAGAAAAAACATTTCGTTTACTTGTAACATGACTGTCAAAAAATATTGTTTGACACATTTTTAGGAGTGCTGGAAAACTAATTCCAGTCATATTGAGGATCTATTTTAATGAAAATCGACTTTCCGAAAAGAATCGGTTCGAACCGTTTTACTTCTTCGCCACTAGATATAGAAGAAATAAGTAGAACAACGGAATGCGTCAGTTTTAATCATCAGCGTTTGAAATTCCTGGAAAATCTGAGAATCAGAAAGAGGTAGCGACGTTGTTCAGCATAGTTTTGGTAAGAAAAAAAGGGAGCTATAAAAAGATTTTGAAGATGTAGATAAACAATTCAAGTGATAAAATACAAGGCCTGTAATGGTTAGGCGGGTGAGGTGTTGCTCCGGCGGACATCCAAGCTAAGCAGCGTTGAGCTGGGTTAGTACTTGGATGGGTGACCGCTTAGGAACACCTCGCTCGCACAAAAATTGCGGGCGGGGTAGGTACGGTGTAGCGGCCTAGTGTCTCCATTTAGTCAGTGTGACAGATAGATATATTAGGGCACTGCACATGGTTTCCCGTGCAGTCCTAGTCCTAGCTCGAATGGGGCACAGCTAAGAGTAAGACGGCCATGATACCGCAGATAACAATGAGAGGAAAAAGAAAGGAGGGGAGGCAGGCTAGAGGAGGGGTTTCAAATCGAGAATTACTTCGATAAAACCAATGAAATAGAAAAAAATAAATAAAATGATTAGATACAAGGAGACTCATCGGTGGAGAATGAAATAGAAAAGTGGCGAAGGAAAATAAGTCGACTCTAAACATTAGAGTTTGCGTTTTCCTGGATACCTATCTTAGAAGCCAAAGATAACATATTTTCCTAGAAATTTCCTTTTTGTGGAGGAAAATAAGAGCTATAAAGATGGCTTCTATAGCCATTCGACTATCCCTCTTAGATTCTAATATATTTATGGAAAATGCATCCTGACGTGGTAAAGCGAATTCCAAATTATGGAGGAAATTCCCAATTCTAAAATAAATGAGCGAATTCACGAATTTTTCTTGTAGAGAAAGAGTAAAAATATAGAAAAGGTTTAAATTGAAATATATCTATGAATAAACCAATATTTCCTTATCATCAGTTCCTTTAACAATCGTGAAATGTCTATTTCATTAACACATCGCTTCGCGTACGTCTCGAGTCGTCTCGATGTGAGAGGAGTGGGGGGGTCCGTCTGAGCTAGTGCGCCATAGGAGAAGCACGTCAGCGCACGTGCTGACGCGAAGAGTGCGTGCGTGTCTAAAAAACGGTGAAGAGTGGGGTACCGTGAGATGAAGCAAAGGGTTAAATTAGATGAAGCTGAAACTAGCGAAAGATTCAACAGCAGAAGATTTATTTATTTATTAATCTTAAGCAAATCAAGAGGTGTACAAATGTTTTTAAGTAATGCACAAACTCTTTCGCCCGTAAAAAACATTTATAGATATAATTATTTGACTCTCCTACATTTAAATATTTCCTAAATTGAATTTGCCACTGAAGAATATTCTGCTAGTTTCAGCTTCATTTAAATTAGTACAGGTTAGAAGAATGGGTAACGGTGAGGTTCTAGATTATCGAGATGTTTGAGATTTTCTAGATTAGAAAACCTTTCTAACAAGATCTTGAAAGGTTTATCTCTTTAATTTTTCGTAAAAAAAAAGAAAGATACACCGAAAAGGGTAGATTCAAAGACATCTATGAATAAACCAATATTTTCTTTCCATGAGTTCGTTTGAAACTCGTGAAGTGTCTACCTCTAAATTCGTACAGATTACAATAGTTCTAGATTCTCGAGATTAGAACACCTTTCCAATAAAATCTTGAAAGGCCTATCTCTTTCTTTTTTTTAGATTATGGAGCATATTCAAATTATGGAGAATATTCCTGATTCTAAAAGAGATGAAGAATTCAGGAATCTTTCTTGTAAAGAAAAATAAAAGATACAGAAAAGGTTTGGATTCAAAGATATCTATGAATAAGCCAATATTATCTTATCATCATATCCTTTGAAAATCGTGACATGTCTATCTCTTTAAGTTAGGACAAGTTACGAGAAGGAGTAACGGTGAGGTTCTAAATTTTCACGATTTTTTATATTAGAAAACCCTTCTAACAAGATCTTGAAAGGTTTATCTCTTTTATTTTTTATTTTTTTTTAGATTGTGGAGCATATTCATATTTTGGAGGATATTCCTGATTCTAAAAGAGATGAAGAATTCAGGAATCTTTCTTGTAAAGAAAAATAAAAGATACAGAAAAGGTTTAGATTCAAAGATATCTATGAATAAGCCAATATTATCTTATCATCAGTTCCTTTGAAAATTGTGAAAGGTATATCTCTTTAAATTAGCACAAACTGGAAGAAAGGATAACAATAAAGTTCTAGATTTTTGAAATTTTCTGCATTTTCTAGATTAGAAAACCTGTCTAACAAAATCTTGAATAGTCTATCTCTTTAATTTTCTTCTTGAGTTGTGGAGCATATTCAAATTATGTAGAATATTCTTGATTCTAAAAGAGACGAAGGAATTCATTCAGGAATCTTTTTTCTAAAAAAAATAAAAGGTACAGACAAGGTTTCGATTCAACGCTATCTATGAACAAACCAATATTTCCTTATCACCAGTTCCTTTATAAACATATCAGAATTGAAATTACATGACAAAGTCTTCCCGAAGACATTTTTCACAGTGAAAAAAACGAGCTTGGATCCAGGGATAATCCTCAAAACCTCTGCCAAATTTGTCCCCCCACAAAAAGACCAAATATCATATATAATCTCCACCAACCAAACTCAATTCACAACTGTCGACAAAGAATGCATTAACACCCCATACCTGTGACTTTTCGAAGCCATCTGGGTTCAACGAGGGCATCAGAAAGATGTCAGTGGTATTAACAAGTCTCCCAATCCGTTCGTCATTATGATAATTAGCCAGGAGGTACTGTGCCAAGTAGATCATGAGTTGTCTCCCAACAGACTCGTCTCCATGCATATTAGCAACGTACTTGACCATGGGTCTCCCCTTAGCTCGTTCCCCGACATTCTGGGTTATCTCCAGAACCAGAAGATCCCGTCCCTCCACGGATTTTCCAATGGAGTGAACTCTCGCGAGATTCGGATAATTTGTCTCCAACTTATCGAAAAGTCTCTTGAGTTCTTCGTAATGTGTGTAATGCGGGGTAATAAAATCCTCGTTGACGCGAGCTGTTGAAGGTAGATGGTATCCACTCGTCAGCACGATGATTCCCCACGCAACGAGAATATTGCTCAGCACACCCATTCTCGTTGGTGATCACAACCCGAATGAATGACTTCAATAAACCTCGAAAAATTAACTTGTTGACTAAACACTAACGGGGCATCCCAAGAAATAATCCACCAGTCTATCGCACGTATGTCAGCTGTACACAAGCAACAGAGGAGAACAACACAGATGTGGAGAACAAGGGAGAACACTAGCGCACTGATGACGTCCACAAGGCTTCAGCGTGGTGGGGGTAAACCCAACCAAACCCAAACCTCGCTCTGCTCTCTGTCCTCGTTTCTTTCCTCGCGCTCTCTCACTCGTTTCCTCTCAACCGGAGGTTCACCCACGCGATAATACTCACCCCCATGGCCTTTTTCTACTTGAGCCTCTTGATTGTCTTTTATCCCCCTCTTTTTTCAAGTAGACGCCCACTCGCGACCTCGGAAATGACGTCATATTGATTCGAGCTTTCATTCATGACTGATAAGCGTGGGGAATTACAGGCTTCGGCTTGCAGTCCGTGACACCGGGAGATGAATTACTTTCATGTTTTTTTTTTATGTAAATAAGGGTGATAATAGCTAGTATTTGAATAATGAAGACGGGGTGTTGGGGGTCGGGTTATTATAGGATTGTTTAGGGGGAGAAAACGAGTTGATGATTTACACTGTTAGAGTGTAGATCAGTATATGTAAGATCAAATACTTTTGATTTTTTGTTTTTGATTCCGAATGGAAGCTTTTGTAATCGTTCAAATTTAATTTGTGGATTTTTTGTGTTGCATCGACGCAATATGATCCAAAAAGTTCAAACTAGCTATTTTCGTCACAAGGCCGAAAACAAATTTTCTGGCGACTATGAGTTTGTAATCATATGAGCTAAAAAAGTGTTTTTAGGCCGTATGACGAATAAAATTTTTTTCTGTACTGCTTCTCACGATTTCTCGTCTGGGAATTGGTATTGCATACTTCCCAAACTCGAAAACTTGAAAATCACTACAAAAAAATCTTGTCCCGGGCTGCTGTGATAGGGTTTGTTTACTCGTGTGGTTGGCCAGTCCTCGCCTTCGGCTCGGACGCCAACGCTACACGAGTAAAAAATCCCATCCCAGCAGCCCGGAAAAATACTATTAACTTAATATATTAGCGTAGAAACAATTCTTTGTTCAGTAATTATTCAATAGAAAAAATCATAGAAATGGTATTTAACAGAGAAGAAAATAACGATTCTAAAGGTTCCAGTTTATGATTTTCTAGACCCAGAAAACAAGCTTCGAGGATGAACTATGAAATCTTAGGCCCCAACACTAAGTCATTAGGATATTGTTTTCTAATAGTGAGAAATGTTCGTTCCCCGGTGGGAGAGATTTTTTCATCTAAAAACTGACCTTGAGTCTGCCCTCTGCGTTCGACTCGCATGAAGTTACGTTTTGAATAATTCATGAATTATTGATCTTAGTTAAATTTACATAGACGGTTCTTTCACATCTGTTCAGACTGAATCATCCTTATCAATTGGGTCTTCTGTGGAAACGATGACAGGTTTTTGGCGAGAATTCTAAACATTCTTTAATCTACTCGAGCCACAGTAGGTACATATTTACATAGATTGGAAAGAGAGTGTGATAAAATAACACGTTTGAATGTTTTGCAGTGTTAACACTTCCACGAACCCTTCGACGTGCTCTTAAGAAAAATACGTTGTTCAACCTTGCAACTTTTGTTTGCAAATTGTGACCCCATAATGGCCCCAGGAGGAGGTTTTTTTTATTATTATAAAAAATTGAAAAAACTGAACACTTTCAAAGAGCTTTTTTAATAAAGATTCGGAAAGTCCAGTACAGAACCAACCGCAAATGAATAATTTATCATGGCAATTGAAGATCTAACAGCCATGGATACGGTGATTTAAGGCCCGGGTGGATTATCTTTCGAAAGTTATCTCAATTGTTTTTTCATCTTCATAATGTAAAATATATCACAATTTCCATTGGATTTTACATCACGCAGCAGTCCCTAAAAATTATAATTGTACAATCAAAAAAAGTAGAAAAAAACATTGAACATTTTCAAAGAGCATTTTTAATAAAAATTGAGAAATAAATCCGATAGAGAGGAAATAGTGAATGGATAATTATCATGGTAACTAACGGTCTGACAGCCATTGACTGCTGTGACAAATGACGACATAACAGCCATTGGATACATCAAATTATTAATTTGCAATTTCCTCCCTATTGGGTTTAGTTCCCAGTATTATTCAAATACGCTCTTTGAAAATGGTCAGCTGTTTTTCAACGTTTTTTTGATTGTACAATCATAATTTTTGGAGACTCCAAGGCTATATAAAGCTGAATAGCGATTGGAGATCATTTTAGATTATCAAAATAAATAAACAATCAAAGTCACGTTCGAAAGATAATGCACCCGGAACTTAAACCTTCATATTCGGTACATTTTCAAATCTCACGTGTTAGGTATTCCAATCTACCTCAAATATATGGATTTGGCTACATAATTTGACAGATTCAAGTTCTAAATATTTTTTTTTCAGAACTTCGACTTTAAAATGCTTTTTTATTGCAGCCCACGTCGACTTTTTCTTAAACTGACTTCAACTGTTGTTTTTTTATGAATTAGAAATATCCAGAAATATTTGAAAAGTTTCCATTTCACTCAATTTATCAATAATATTCTTGTTATGTCCCAGATAATCTCAAAGCTTTTCGTGCAAAGTATCTCTGCAGAGCTGCCTCAAAGACTGGTCCCACTGTCCGCTTCTCCCATATGGAGGGTTTCTTCTCCTCTGGCTTTTCCTCCTTCGATCCCGTTTTCTTAGAGCTTTTCTCCTTGTTCAGTTTCTCTGGTTCTGGTGCACTGAATGCCTTGTCTTCTGCATCATTCGTGGGTTTGACGGATTCATTCTGTTCTTCATCTGCTTCTTTGGTCGACAGTCTAGGTTTCTTCGTGGGAGACTCGTATTTTTCATTCTCTTCAAGTTTGTCAGAAGCATCATCACCACCCATTCGTGCATCCTCATCCCCCTCAGATTTCTCAGCAGGTTCTCCCTCAGATTCTGATTCAGATTCCTCCATGACTCGTTTTCTGTACTGTCTGTTATTTTTTCCCTTAAAATTCATTTTAGATTTTTCTTCTGCCTTTCTTTTATCATTCTCTTCGGCCTCATTGTCTGATTCTTCTGATGATGAATCAACGGATAAATTTTCGTCTCTATCGATATTTGGAGATTGTGATGGACTAGGTTCCCTCCTAGGTTCCTTTGAATTATGCTCTTCCCCAGGAGATTCATTCGATTTTGGATCAAAAGTCTGAGCGAACAAATGCCGATGGAAGCCAGACATATCAGGCTGCTTCGTCACATCAGCAATGGCCTCCAGCCTGTCCATCCGTTCCTCCTCCTCCTCAATCTTCTTGAATTGCTCTAGTTTTTCTCTGTAAGCAGATGTCACAAAGCTCTCCTTATCAGCGAACTTCTCCCCCTCAGCCTCTCGCTCCTTCTGCACCATCCTCTCCATTCTGTGCTCCTGCTCTATCTTCCTCCTCTCAGCTGCCTTCAGCAGGTTGTGAATGTACTTCGGCTGCTTCTGTTCCTTCTTCACTGGCTTGTTCTGCTCCTTGACCTTTTCTATCTGATCGTACACCTCGTCGTACTGGTAAATCGTTGGATCTTCGTTTAAAGCTTTCTCCATGTTGAGACGAGTCTGTTTCTTTATTTTGTGCTTTTCACCCTCTGCCTTAAGGGCTTTCTTGACCCAGTCAGCTCCATCATCTGTGTCGGAGTCGTTGTCATCGCCGAATATATTACCGGCCTTTGGGGCTGAGAGGGCAGCCTTCTTAGGCATTAGTAAACCATATCTGAAAATGAAATGATGGGATTAGGATTTCATGAACAATTGGTGAGATTTATTCTCAGTTGAAGGCCCGGGGGAATTATCTTTCGAACGTGATCTTGATCGGTTTTTTTATTTTGATAATCTGAAATGATCTCCAATTGTATTCAGTTTTACATAGCCCTGAAGTATCCAAAAATTATGATTGTACAATCAAAAAAATGATTTAAAAAAGCTGAATATTTTCAAAGAATGTTTTTGAATAATATTGGGAAATAAACCCAGTAGGGAAGAAAAAGCAAATTAATAATTTGATGTATTTGACGGCTGTTAGGTCGTCGTTTGTCACAGTAGTCAATGACTGTCAGGTCGTTAGTTACCATGATAAATTATCCATTCACTATTTCCTCTCTATCGGACTTATTTCGTAATCTTTATTAAAACGCTCTTTGAAAATGGTCGATTTTTTTTCTACTTTTTTTAAATTGTACAATCATAATTTTTTGGGACTCCTGCGTGATGCGGAATCCAATGAAAATTGTGATATATTTCATCTTATGAAGATAGAAAAACAATCGAAATAACGTTCGAAAGATAATCCACCCCCGGGCCTGAATTGGATTGATTCTTGATTGCCTCATCTGCTTGGTTTTTCAATTATTTAGGTATACCGCATGAGTGGTTGGATAAATTTAAATAAAATGAAGTGAGAGAAATTCTGTAGAAAAATTACAGTGTTGGGACGGCTGAAAGTAGAAGCAGAAAAGTGTAAAAGTAGAATTTTTAAATTCTTTGGATTTTTTAATAGCTTTCTAACAGTTTGAAGGAGAAAATCAAGTTTATCAATCAATCTTCCAAATATTTCATTAATAAAATTATTCAAAAATTTATAATCTATTCTGAGTATTGGGCTCGAATAAGAGCTTTAATGTTTAACTACAAATGTGGAGAAGGGTTTTGATGAAAGAAATTCCGGATTTTTGACAAATTATGAATTGTCGCCGTCTTAAACCATATCTGGATATTTATGACCAATTGTTTGAATTTATTCTTGCCTCATCTGCTAGGTTTTTCAATTATTGAGTTGTGCAGCATGAGTGGTTGGATAAATTAAAATAAAATGAAGTGAGAAAAATTCTGTAGAAAAATTCTAGTGCTGAGGCGGCTAAAAGTGAAACTAGAAAAATGAAAAAAGTGCAATTTTTCAATTCTTTAGGTTTTTTAAACATTTTTGAACACTTTTAAAGGAGAAAATGAAGTTCATCAATCAATCTTCCAGATATTTCTTAACGAATTATGTGAAATAACATAAATATAACCTCCAAATGTCTTCATTATTACATAAAACAGTACTCACTGCTTTGTACTTTTACTCATGATTCGCCAGATATCTCTCACTTGATAACATCAAATTATAAAATTATTATCGCTATTCAAACAATATTTCTATCAATTTCACTCTAAATGTTTTTTTGTTGACGTTGGTTGACTTGCACCTTCAGCTCTCAGTTCGATACCCCAGATTTCAATTTTACCATCAGATTTTGCCCGAGGCAACAGCTGATGAAGTGGAACTCCTCATCATCGATTTGTTTTTAAAGGTCTGATCACATCGTGGAATTCGGAGTGGAATATCACGAGTGAAACGTTTCGCAACACCGGCTCTGTACATTCCTGTTCATCACCTGTCTCCGATTCAATTGTTAACAATCGTTCGTTGTTTGACAACAATTCATCAGTCAACGTACTCGAGACTGTATTCTTCATTTGTGGCAGATTTTTATTCGAATACAGATAGAGTTTTTTGTACGAATTACATAACCTGATTGATATTGCAATTTTATGTGACGGTGATTGATCGAATATTTAATAAGTGGTTCAAAGTGCAGGAAAAGAAATTTGTTGGTTTAATATTGGACTTTACTAGTGTCTTGTAACATTACTTCATTATTTCGTATTTCTCTTTTATTTTGAAAACTTTATAAACAAAAATGTCGAGATTACTGACAAATCTCTGCCCACAACTGAGGAAGCTGGTAAGTTATGAACAAATTGAATATGATTGTATGATTCTAGTAGTGAACTGGTAAAAGGTACAAATCAATTTTGACGATTGATTAGTTTTCAATGAATATCTTGGAATCTAAGGGAGGTAGCAAAATGTTTGTTGCAACCTTTTTTGTAGAACCAATTGAGAGCTACAGCAAATGTAATTATGAAAATTTTGCTGTCTCACTCAGATTCGGAAATATTCCTCAAAAACTCAACTGGGAGATAAGTTGACTTGAACCGTTTTACCACTGCGCTACTGATTTGATGGTTGATGATTCAAACTGAATGTCCAAGTAGTTGAACGTTTAGTGCGAGTAGATCAGCGTATGAATAGAATATTATAATTTTTGGTGAACAAGAAATAAATTCACTTTGAGCATGTCTATTTGTCCTTCTGAATAGACTGCCAAAATTTGATATCGAATAATAAATTGCCTGACTCAGAAAGTACGTTGAATACACGGATTGCCACATCCATAAATTATAATTACTGCTAAATTATTAAGTTGTCAGTTATTTAATATCACTTTCAAATTTCAGTTATTGAAGTAGGGGAGGTCGGGGTAAAATGGACACTTTTGACTTTTTTTTTAAATGTTAATGACGGATTGAAATGTTGATAAAATTCAATAATTTTTATTTCATTGCAAAGAACAATTCTTTCCCTTTGTGATGACCCTAAACTGTGCTCAATTGATAAATTTATTTCTGAGTTATGAGTAATTAAAACAAAAGTCTAAAGTGTCCATTTTACCCCACTCTCCCCTTCTCATCAATTTAGTAGTTAAATTTTGGATTATTCATTAATCAGTAATCGAGTTAAAATTGTACTGATTATTTCACTGCTCAATAATATTACTCGTGTATAATCATGTGATCAGTGATCTTTTCTATTGATCGACATTTAATAAATGAAAAAAAAAATGGCCTAGTCGTCCAGAAATTAGGGGTTCCGGCTGCATTCAACTATCTCTTCATTTAATTATTCTTTGTTTTGTTATTTTCACTTCAAATAATTTTTTTCTGCCAATTAAAACATTTTTGAAGGTATGGAAGCCATCATATCCACATTTAGGTGATTCTTTTAACTTAGATCCTACCACGAAACTGGAATTTCCCTTAACCGCCCAGCAAGTGGCCTGTTCACCCTAGATCCATATTTTTAAATATTGAAACGATATTGGGACGATAGAAAATTCAATATATCAATACAATAAAACAAGAGAGAGAAGAATACCTAATTCGCAAAAGCAACATTAACTTCAAAGGAGATGTTCAGATGGAAAAGAAACGAATGCAATCCAATTGAATGCACTCTAAATGGGATAATTCTCATAACAGATATTCATAACAATATTTAATTCATCATCAATCGGAAATGTAGATTATCAATTATTTTACGGTTTTTTAAAATTTCGATTAGTATATTTACACCTTCATCAATGCATGTTGGAAATTCGTTTAATATTGAAGAATCGGAAGATTGGTGGCCATCTTTGGTTGAATCCTATTTACTAAAGATGAAAGAAACGTGAAGTTGTTTTATATCGAAATATCTCGAAACTGCTTGACCGCTAATTCTTAATTCTGATTGGTCAATGAGTCACGTGAAGTAGTCGCTGAAAAAAATCCTCGTTATTTTCAAATTCGGCAAATGCCAAAAATTGTTTCTGCATCATATTTTTCATTTTTTCATGTGTGAAGTTGATCTTTATATCAAAACATATCTAAATTGCCTAATTGTTGAGCATGAGAAAAAAAAACATAGTATTTCTAAATTTTTTTAACTCACAAATTATTCTTCACTTCCCAAATTTTAATTTTTCCATATTTATCACACGCCAAAATGATCAGTTCTTGCTTTTCAGATTTTCATACATAAATTCTAAACTCTACAACATTCACGAAAATTCTTCGGTTTCCCAAATAATTCGAGAAAAATCTGTGATGTCCGGTGATTATCTGGTNAAATTTTTTTAACTCACAAATTATTCTTCACTTCCCAAATTTTAATTTTTCCATATTTATCACACGCCAAAATGATCAGTTCTTGCTTTTCAGATTTTCATACATAAATTCTAAACTCTACAACATTCACGAAAATTCTTCGGTTTCCCAAATAATTCGAGAAAAATCTGTGATGTCCGGTGATTATCTGGTAATTCAAGAAATTTTTTCAGTTCTCTAGGAAATCAATTCATAACCCTCCCCTGATTTTTCAACAATTACAGATTTTAATCAGATTATTTTAAAAAGTAAAAAAAAAAGAATTAAAGATTAAAAAGTATTCATTGATGCTTCACTCTTCATTCTCTTAATTCTCTTCAAGTCATTACCAATGTTTATAAAACATCTATGAGTATATGAAGTTTAATAAATTCGATTTCTTCACTTTCACAACAAACAGATAAGCGCGCGCACAGATCTAGTGTTTAATAAAGTTGGGCTACTGGGACAGTCAGGTACTGGGATATTCACCTTATCAAACCCTTGATTAATGATTTCAATTGATTAACAGGTAAATCTCTCGTTAGTGGAATCAAAGTCCCTGGTGTCCTCTCAGAATATCCGCAGTTTCTCGATAAGCTCAAGATTATTGGCAGGCTGGCCCCAAATACAAAAGCCTGCACCTGATTTCGCCGGTACTGCTGTCGTCAATGGTGACTTCAAGGATATCAAGCTATCTGATTATCGAGGGAAATACGTTGTACTGTTTTTCTACCCATTAGACTTGTAAGTAATGCTCTCAATTTTTCTTTTTAACCTCGTGGTAACGTCAGGAATAAATGTAGTAATGAAGATAAGTTGAAAATGAACGGTTTGCAGATAATTTCGCAGATATCCCTGGAGTGGATTAGAGATAATTATCAAGCGAACATTTTCGTTGAGAAGTTCATGGGCTATGAAAAAACTCCCTTGACATTTTTCTTTGAATAAGAGAGATATTTACAAAATTACGTGTAGGAAAGAGTAGGGTGAAATGAACACTTTCGACAATCTTTAAAGGCATTTACAATTCATAAATAAAGTTATTGATTGAGTTCTTAATGTGTTAGAAGAGATAAAGTACTCTTTTATCCCGTTTAACAACTAATGTAATAGTTGTAATGAAACTTTATATATTTACAGCAATAATGTTTCGGGCCAAATCGAATAAATAGAGAAATATAACTAATACTTCAGAAGGCAATCGAATAAATAAGAGGAATGAAATCAATCAGTGACAAAATCACGAGAATGCAAATCATACCCCTAAATAGCCAAATATCACTCAGGAAGAAATCGTTGTTGATAATATTTATAAGTCATGAAAATTACCACGAGCAATTCAAACACACAATGCAGGAAATCTATCATAACATCATTTACAAGGGAATTTTATACATTACGTTTAAAAATTACGTTATTAGAAACAATATTCAACAATAGTTCACGCTTTGTCTCATTTTTCCCATATTTCTATAAAATGAAAAAAATATATATTCATGTTATATGGGCTTTTAAGATATCCTGATGTGAAAATGAACGGTGAAATATTAATTCGTAAATTTTTTTTACTTAACAATCTTCGGTGAATTGTTCTATCTCGGGAACTATTCAATATATCGATCTAAAATTGGATATGGGAGTGTTGTTCGACAATCCTAACTAGTAGCCAACGTTTCAAAAAAATTCCTTGGCTTTTATTTGGATTCTGCAAAAAAAATTCAAAAACGGCGATATCTCGAGGCTTTTAAATCAGATGGTACCTATATTTTGTCAGAAATTGATAGATGACATCAAGACCGACATTTTGAAAATAAAATTGAAATCGGAGCAGTGGTTTTCGAGGTACTAAATTATTTTCGTTTCTGTTCAACTTTTGTACCGTTATGAGTATCATAACAGTGTTGTATTTTGGTGGCTAGGCAGGCTCCCATGGGTTTTACACCTGGAGTCTAATAAATAAAGATAGATAGATATTGAGCAAAAGAGCTTCACAGATAAAGTTGAATACCTTCGAAACTACTGGTCTGATTTTGCTTATCCAGAACCCCAAAATTTTGTTATCTGAAGACTTAAAATCCTTCGAAGTTTGAAATTTCTATCCCAATTATTTTTTAAATTATCATACGTACAAGCAATTTCAGTGAAAAAAAATGAAAAAACGAAAATAAAACTACATTACTCGGGGTGACATGGACTTTTTTAAATTTAATTTAATAGATATCATCACGACGGGTATTTAAAAAACAATAATTAAATCGGTCGAATGGTTCAGGAGATCTGTAGAAAAAGATTTTTGAGGAATCACTATAACTCAGGAACCGCTGAACCGATCGAGCTGCAATTTTGCATAAATTTGACTATCAGTAGTACCAATTAGCAGCCAATTTCAGCATCTTTGTGTTAATCATTCTTGAGTTAGGGAACAGTTCTGGACAGCGAACACAAATGCGCGCACACACACACATACATACATTACATTTTTTAAAAACATTACTTCTTCATGTTTCATGACACTTCTAGGCATTTCCACCCAAAATCAGGAAATCGAAAAAAATCTCAATTACATAGCTTCTATTCGGAAGCAAAAACACTAGGTTGCAAAGTGTCAAGCTTTTTCGTGCCAAATTGACTTTCCTTACAAGAATCCATCTGAAATTCCGAAAATTCGAATTGGATTTTCTTTTGCTTTGGATTGGATTTTGTTGTAAACAGTTTTCATCAGCGATTTGGAGTTTCGTGGAGGAATTGAAAAGGTAAAAAACAGCAAAGCAAAATTTCCCTTTTAGCTCTACTCTTCTCTCCACAATTGGATCAAAATAAAATTGAATGAAACTAACGAAATGGGTAAAAAAAACTTGAGCCAAAAATCTGATAACTATTTTATTGAATTTCAGCACTTTCGTATGTCCAACTGAGCTTCTCGCCTTCAGTGAAAAAATGTCAGAATTCAAGAAATTAAATGCTGAGGTGATCGGTGTCTCCACAGACTCCCATTTCAGTCACTTGGCCTGGATCAATACCCCAAAGAAACAAGGAGGACTCGGTGGTGATCTTGGATACCCACTTCTCAGTGACTTCAACAAACAGATAGCAGCGAGCTACGGAGTCCTTCTGGATGAACCTGGTGTTGCGCTTCGAGGACTCTTCATTATCGATAAAGAAGGGGTTTTACGTCAACTCAGCGTTAACGACTTACCAGTTGGTAGGAGCGTTGATGAAACATTGAGGCTCATCAAGGCCTTCCAGTTTGTCGAGAAACATGGAGAGGTGTGTCCGGCCAACTGGCAGCCAGATTCCAAAACGATAAAGCCGAATCCTAAGGACAGTAAGGAGTACTTTGAGTCTGTTAACTAATTGTAGAACAAAGGGGCTGAGTTGTGGTATTTAATAAAGGAATAAAAAAATCTGTTTAGGAAACTTGCGTTGTGATCATTTATTCGATGACTGCCTTGACAGAAAATGTAGGTATGCATTCTTACAGTACATCCTCATTTGTAAAAAAATTATTCCAGTTATTCAAAATTCATATGAAATGTTTGTCTTGATCATTAGATTAAGGACGTCATTAGCTCATCAGAAGCCAGGTGAATAGATGAAAGACACTTTTCATATGAGCAATTAAATTTGATTTTTATTAACTTCCCGATTTATATCGGGTAGTTATTGTAATGGTCCCGAAAATCGAAAGTGGAAACGTTATGATATCTTCAGATTTCATGACCTCAGAAACTGAGGACAGGAGAGGTCACTGAAACCTAGTGCAGATGTTTCTAAGGATGGTGAAAATGTCAAAAATAATGGAAATATAGATGTGCACTCTTAGAGTACACCCTCATTTGCAAAAGCAAATGATTTCATTTATTCGAAATTCATATGAAACGTCCATCGCGATCATTAGATTAAGAACGTGATCAGTTCATCGGAAGCCAGATGAAAGACACTTTTCATATGAACAATTAAATTTGCTTTTTATTAACTTCCCGATTGACATCGGGTAGTTATTGTGATTCGAAAAATCGAAACTAGAAATTTCATGATATCTTCACGTTTTATGACCTCTACACGGAGAGAAATGTTCAGTAAAAATTACGGAACTCACAATTCGCTCACCGGTTAGGGAATCGACTCAGAAAATTTAAGTGACCGTATCGTAATTTTTCACAGGAGATTCAGATAAAAATTAAGGAACGCTCTGGAAAAATTCCGTGGCAGTTCCGTAAAATTTCGTACAACCACATTTCGCTTCGGAATTACGGAAAAGATACGTAATTTTTATTGAATATTTTTCTCAGTGTAGGAGGTTCCTACGAAGTTGTAGGATGTTCGTGTATCTGTATGTGTGTGCGGAAGTGAGAAAAAGTTCGCCCAACAATTCCGCTTGAACCAACGGTCCGATTCAAATTTTTTGTTAATGGAATCGATTCGAACCACATTGTCTCAACGGTTTTCTAGATTTATCAAGAAAACTATTAAAAAACCGTCAAAAAAATTACATTTTTTCAAATTTCAATGTTTCTCCTGGAGGAATGATGGGATTGATTTCCTTTCATCATAATCGATGCTGTTTTGTATGACTAAGGCTAGAGTAAAATTCCAACGAAATCGTTTCTGAAGTTGTAGAGTTATTCAAATACGAATTTTCCGAAATTTTGAAATTTGAAACAATTTTTTTCCTAAATGAATAAGAAAAGTAAATTAATCGGGAAGTCGTTGGTTTGACCCCTAATGGATCACACCCACTTGAACCCGCTCTTACCAGTCACACCCCAACCTGGATGTGTGTGACCGGCACTGATTTTTAACACGTGGTCTCACTTCGAAAGCAGTAGTAGAATATGGAAGTCATAAAGAAGCCTTTTCATCATAGTTACTTTTGCCCCAGGGTTTATCAAATGTTTATATTATTTATTAAACATTCTACTTGAAGTTTCAGCATCGTATAGGGACGTCCAATAGATTGAATATCGTGTTGCATGAGAGAAATCTCACGCGCGCCTAACGATGGGATAACGAGAATTACAGAAGAATTGTTTTTTTTTTTCAATACATCGATTTTTTTTGAAATTGAAAATTTTGTTTAAAAGCCGATTGTTAATAATTTGAGTAGTGAAAAACCGCCCGATTACATGAATTTATAAATATATCACGTGAGACTTGAGAAAACATTGTTGAACAACATTGCGTTGCAAGTATTTTTTATAAATAATTTATAAACAATCAATTTTCCACCATATAAATCATTTGTTTGGAATCGTAATGAATTTATTCGTATTTCGAATTTTACCGGAAAACGATTACATGCCTAAAAAAATAAGGTTTCCGAAAGTTTGAACAATTTCAATTATTTATTTATAAACAACAAATCTTTAAAAAATTTGTGCAAAATATAATTTAAATGACACTGAATATTCATGATTTTTTTCAATTTTTTCTCACGCAATTTAACTGACAAATTTGATAATTGAAAATGGTTGAATCAACAGTATTGTTTCTACCGAACTATAAAAGATGCTTGGATATCCTTAATCGTGAATTAAATTGGGAATAAAAAATTCAAAGAGTTTCACAACACTTAATAGAACAACAGATCACAATCTTCCCTCAAACCTGATTAAATAGCACCCATTGTTTGCAATTCTCTTGTTTCCAATTTTCTCCTAACGAAACACCTAAACTCATGAATCGGCACGCGTGCTGGAGCGTGTAGAATCGTCAATTTCCAGGCGGAACTGTGATCTGTATATCCAAGAGCACCAGGCACGTGCCTTGGGAAAAAAAATCTCAACACAACAATTTTTTCTCTCCCTCGTAATGTGTTGTATCTATGTACCCATTTTGCCTTGTATGGTCGAGGTTCAATCAGACGCAAAGGGCACCGGGGGCACGCGGATACTGAATGGAGTAGGGCCTGCATGAGTGGAGAGAGACACATGATGACGATGAAGAGAGAGCAATCTCGTGCTGGTTGATTTGATTCTTTGTAGCGATGGAGAGCAATAGCGGGGATCAGGGACCAACTGAAAAGACCGTTCTGGATTATCCTTACTGTTCCCTTTATCTCTCGCTTCTCTGAATTTGTGTCCAACCCACTGTATTCAATTTTTTTTGCGAGAAGTCATACAAAAATGGCCTTTTATCGTCCACGAAGAATGACGGTAATACAATTATTACTGGGAGTTCAAATGAATGTTTTCAGGTTTTTATCATGTGTTCAGTGGTTAAACTTTTATAGTGGCACGCACGTAACCTTGATCTTTATTATGCGGTGTACAATTCTGATTTTAATTGCTTTCATCTGTTTTTCCTTTTTTCCTTTGATACTTTGACGTGATTGATTTTTTTAAAATCTCTCTATATTATGAAAATCCAAATCGACTTCTGGTGATAAAAATTTGGTACTCGAAATTAAGATTTCACAATTAACCCTAGTCTGGTCACCTGACGGGAAAATGCGACTTTAGTCCCTTTCGCGGGAGAGTGCCACCGTGTTATTTAGGCTCCAGCGTTGCCGAATCCACTCTACACTTCCCGGGCACGTTTAGCGAGTTCTCAGCAACGTCGCGCAACAGGCAATTTCATTTAACACAAAAATTGTTCACCTATTGAAAATAATTTTTTTTCTCCCAGAATTAAGGATACAATATTGAAAAAAAATACTAGAATTTTCCAGATACTTCAATTGACAAATTCAATTTTTCTCAAATTTTTCCGGTCAATCAGTCGATGGCAAGGTGAATAAAACGACGTGTTGCGGCAATTCCCTCGCATGGTGACCAGTCTAGGGTTAAGGGTCACGAGGATTAAAATAATGGTCATGACGGTCAGAACAAGGATCATAAGATTCACGAGGTTTAGAATCAGGGTTATGAGGTTCAGAATAAGGGTCACAAGCATCAGATTAACGGCCAGAATAAGGATGATGGAGGTCATATGGTGGTTATGTGGGGGCGACGAGCGGAGCGAGCAGGGGGCGCAGCCCCCTAGGCTTATATATAAATATACCATATTATCTTATTATATTTGTATGCTACAGGTATATTCTAAAGAAATTATAGACAACTAGGGGGCTTCGCCCCCTGCTCGCTTCGCTCGCCAACCCCGGGGGGCTTCGCCCCTCCGCTCGCTTCGCTCGCTCCCCCCCAATCCAACTGTCAGCCCCCCACCGCGTTTGACCCTGGGACACCCTCCTCCCTTCTAACCCCCCCGACCTTGGGCACCCCCTGACCACCCCTTGACTAC